GGTTAAATTAATATTTCCTTAAATTTCATTGTCGTGGCACACTTATTATTGATGTTTCCGAAAATCTTTAATCTCTAAAGAGTGTAGTTCACAAATTAAAGTCAATTTTGTGAGTGTTGCTGCTGAAATGCGTATATTTGAAGACCATGGAGTAACACTTTTAGATTAAAACAGGAGCGAACGTTGTAGTCGGCCGTAACCGACTACGAAGTACTGTGATACCATAAGTTATTCCAGCGGATAAGTAACAAAGAAAAAGGTGGTTGTAGCCAAGAAGTAATGTCCAAGCTTGCATTTCAAATTGCGGTAGATATAAGCTAGTAATAAGTTTGGTAACTCTAGCTATTAAATTACGGGAGATATGGGGTTTTGGAAATTTTGGGGGCCGGAGTGGGCTTAGCCAAAAAATTATTAGAGGACGTTCCTAGTAATCTTCCTTCCAAGTCTGGTAAATAGCTATTAAATTACGGGAGATATAGGCTCCTGGGAATTTTGAAAGTGGGAGTGGGCGTGCCCAAAAAATAATTTTGGAGTACGATCTTAGTAATCTTACTTCCAGGTTTAACAACCGTATCTCTTAAATTGCTGGATATATAGCCTTTTATCGTCCTTGTGTGCGGGGGTGGGTGTTACTAGGGTGTTACTAGCACTATACCTTAAGATCTGGTGACTCTAGTTTTCAAATTGTGTGAGATATATAGTCTTATCGATTTACGCTAACAGGAGTATCGGTTTAAGGAGGGGGAGTGTGCGTGGTCATCCAATTCTTTATCGATCACTTAGGGGAGTTACCAGTAACATGCTTTTAAAATTCGGTGACCCAAGCCTACAAATTGTGGAAGATATGCGCATTTGAGATATTTAGAATTGAAGTTCCTGGGGGCGGCTGGTGTGGGCATGGTCTGAAAACTTATATGCCGATCCTTGGAGGAGGTTTCCAGCAAGTTACCTCCGCAGTTTGGTTACTCTATCTTTAGAATTTTGGGAGATATGCGGGCTTATCGATTTACACTTTCCGAAATATCGGCTTTGGCGATTATGAGCACAGGTGTGGGCGTGGCCATACAAATTTGTTATCGGCTTTTAAAGACTCTAACTCAAAAACTTCATAGAATATAGCCAAGGCGGTGGGCCTTGGGCGGCGGAGGTAAGCGTGACATATGCCAATCTTTGAAGGTCATCGAAAACAACCAGCCAACCAAACTTGGACTTTAGTCTTAAAATTGTGGGAGATATGCGGCTTTATCGGTATGTGAATCGATTTTATCGATTTCCTAGCCACCTGGTGGACGAAGCACTCTCATTTTTACACTTTGTCTGACGCGGGCACAGACCAGTTTATGTTCCAAGTTTCAAGGATCTCTACGGGGTTTGAAAAAAGTTGAGTTCATACAGACGGACAGACAGACAGCATGACGGACATTGCACAAAAGCAATATGCTGTGACACCTTCGGTATTAAAGTATAAACAATTAACTTTATAACCTTAAAAAATAAAATTTATTATCTAAGACTTCCGATAATTCAATGGGCCAGTCTTGTGATAAAGTACAATTTAGTCGACTCCAATAAATGAATAAATTACATCTAACAACATTTCAGCAATTTAATATCAGAAAAGCGAATTTGTTGTGAAACAGTTGCTTTCTTTTTGTATAGAAAGTGTAAGTACTTTCATTTTGAAGGATGGATATTAATGTTATTAAACCTATTTATTAATAAGCCTTCCTTTTTTATATTGTACTCTAGAGTACTAATATCTTTTGATAGTCAAGTTGTGGCTAAAATATCATGATGTGACCTCTCACTGCTTATTGCAGTCGGACTTATCTTCTTTTTTGTCTTGGTGAAAAAATTTGAAATTTTAACTTCTGAAAGATAAATTAAAGATTTAGCTTTGATTTGTACCAGGCCACTAGTATAGAAGCAATAATCTGACAATACACATATGCAATTCGCTTGTCGAGACAATGATACACAATTTCTTGCGGTAATTTTGTCGATATGACGCCTCCATGTATTGTCTGCTATTGGTAGTACTAAGAGTGTAACATAACATATATAAATTAACTGCAACTATGTACTTGACTTATAATATCAATATCGATCGATATCATTGGTGTGATATCCAGCTTGAAGCAGAAGAGCCGTTTTTGGAAGATGTATAATTAGTTTTGACTGCAGCAAAAAGCCATATTAAATTCACTGTCAACAAAGCTATTCAAGATATCGGAATTTGATGACTCTTATACGAACAAGCGACTTTTTACATCATTTGTATGTCAAATTCTGGAATGCGGGGGCTAATTATCTAAATAATGTAGCAAACTAAATTATATTTATTGTAAACGACTGCTTGCTTTACTTTATTCACAACGATTGAGCTTAGATATTATGTTTCAGTCTTAGTACTACACAGATAGACTACTGCTTATAGTAATTCCCTCCCGAATTAGTTGTCGTGCCGTGCTAGGTGTTATGTTTGTAGTTAAACTACTAAATGGTGAAATCGATTCCGTTGCGCTAATAAGCCAAATTAATTGTTATTTTTCTACCATTTACTTTTCCCTCTTTTTTAAACTAATAATTATTCCTTGAATGAACCTTTTCGAGAACTCTGTAATTAATACAAAATGTATTTTGAATGCGAAAATGTCAATCACGAGGCAAAGCGCTTTAAAAAGAGTTCGTAATGATAGAAATAGAGGACTCTGAGCATGATGGATTCATTGGATATCTTAACTGATTCATACTAACTATTGGAATTTTCACGCTTCATGTAATAAATGTTAAGCCAAATTTATATACCTTGATACCGAAATGATTATAGTATATCGGTTTTGTGCAATGTCCGCTATGTTGTCTGTCCGTCTGTATGAACTCAACTTTTTTCGACACCCTTAGAGATAGGGGCTTGAAACTTGGAACATATACTTGTCTGTGTCAGATAACATGTAAAAATAGAGTGCTACGTCCAGTTGGAGGCTAGGAAATCGATAAAATCGATATTCGCAAATCGATAAAGCCACATATTTCCCACAATTTTAAGGCTAAAGTCACCAATAGATTCATCAAATTTTAAAAGCATGTTACTGGTAACTCCTAAGAGATCGATAAAGAATTAGATGGCCACTCCCACTCCGCCTCTCAAAACCGATACACCTGTTAGTGTTAATCGATAAGGTCATATATCTTACACAATTTGAAAGCTAGTCACCAAATTTGAATGGTATATTGCTAGTAACACCCCTTCAAAGCTTGCACAGTATTTCTTTACTACACCCACCCTGTTTTTTGCTATTTGTTATCAGCTGGTATTACTTATTGTCTTAAAGTATTTTACAGTCGGTTACGCCCGATTGGAACGCTTTGTCTTGTTTTTCTTATGTTTTAAAAATATTACATTTTATTTTTGAGTTATTTATTAGTCGAAATTAAATAAATATATAAATAAAATTGTAAACACAAAAGTCTTCCATACAATAACTTATTTTTTACAGATAATTCCTGCGACAGCTTTTAATAGTCCAATTCGGTAGATTCTGATAAAAGTACTACTGCAAGTGTATATGAATATTGAACTTAAAGACTTACAACAGTTACATGAGTGTTATTTTTAAAATGACCATATACATTATACACACATAGCACTTGAAAATGATTGGTTCAGTTCGTTCGACATAATACGAGTACGTATTTTATGCATATATTGCAGGGCTTAAGTAGAACTGCACAGTCTGCAGATGTGAACTTATGCAAAATACAATTTTATTAATATGATGATCATTTTTGAAAGACGCAGTCGGGGCGGCGAGCTTTTATTGGATAATTCCGTCTTCAACCACTGAGAAAAGCAAAGGAAAAAGCAAAAACCAAAAAAAAAAACAGAACAAAAATTCACCATCTAGCTTAAATTCAAAATAATATAAAAACAAAAGCAAAAATAAAATTTCAGCGATAAAGAAATACGTCGAGGCTTAACGGGAACTGTGCGATTGAAGTATTTTGCAATTTTTGCGCAAGCAAAATACCGGAAATCGCAAGGGGCTTCGGAACAACAATAGCAACAATGTGCGACAATAATAATAAATTTTCATAGCTTCCCATTGCCGTTAAGCACCTCCCCTCCTCCTTCCGTTGGGTTGGAGCGACATATGAACATGCATATGGCTTGCACCCATTTCACATTTGAGTTGTAGAGGAAGTTTGGCTTCAATAATTCAACACCCAGTTCCATATTGTACGCAATCCTTCGCATTGAATAACACATAATTCTGTCTGCATGATAAACTTCTTTGCTCATTGGATCAGCCCGGACAAATAACTGATATGCCAATTACACTTTCAGCGCATTCTCCCGTCGAGCCAAAATATTAAAAATGTATGTTATCTTCAATATGCCTCGCTCTCTTTTCACAGTGCAGTGAAAATCATGTTATCCTGTGTCTGATGTGCCAACTTCCTGGCTTCTTGTGCGTGGCATTGACGTTGCGTATACGCCATGCTGACGTGGAAAAGCTTTAAGCCAGCGATACTTTCTGGGCATAAAGTGTGTTGCCAAAAGCGTGGGTAAATGTCACTGATTAGATTCTTATATTACAAAGGCGATAAAATAATAAAGCGTTGCGAGTTGACACATGCAATATGTTGTTTCCTTTAGTGAGAAAACATTAAATTCAAGCTGTTGTTTGCATATTGTGTAAATATAGTTAATTTGAGGTTCACTCAGAAAAAAAATTACACCCATTTGTTAAAAAACTGCTTACTTATTTGCGTGGCTTCATAAATATGTTATATTTACATTTGAATGCTGATATTAGTTGGCGCTGCCAAGCATGGTGCCTTTGTGCGGATATTGTGGAGGAGGTGCGTGCATCCATTAGGTATCCATGACGTATAGTGGCTTCTCACTATTTTTTTTTTTTGTTCAAAATCATACCTCCTAAACTAATGAAGAATTCTTCATAATTTAAAAAGCATATGCTTTAAAATGAGTGCGCATCTAGGGGGCGTCACGTCATGACGTCATGCCAGTCCGGGAACAGATTCTACTGCCGGAGAATGATAAGTTTTCTCGTCTGGCAGCAGCAGCGCTAGCGCGTCAATGTTTGGCAGCTACGGAATTTTGTCAGTGAGGACGTCCAATTGGAGGAGTAGCTTGAAGTACCCGTCAGATCCGAGAGTATGTCTAGTTGTAAAGGAACTTTTTACTTGGGTACAAAGAAAGTTAAATTTTTGTTACTCTATTCTTATTAAACATACGTATTTTAAAATGTCGCATAAACAAACACTTTGGATAGTTAATAAATATTTATAATATAATTTGAAAATCCATACCTACGCAAACTTCCCACAACAGCTTAACATTAACATTAACAGTCGAGAAATCAAAGCGAATTTTCTTAATTTCAGAAATAATTTTTTAAATAAAGGTTTGTAGCTATACTTTTTATAAATATTTTCTATTGTTAAGAAATCAATTGTTTTATAAAAGTAATGAAAAAGTTCTTGTTTTCCGGTAGTGTTTCAAAATTTGATAGAAATTTTTATTAATAATAAATATGTGGGCTCAATAGAAGCTGGGGTAAGTCTGACCACAGGTTACCTCGAAGTCGGCACACTTTATACTAGATCATTTTCACTTGTGGAATTTTCACATTGCCAATCCTTTAAAAAGCGAACTGGTTCCACTGGACTAGTTCATTATGGAGCGACTGCAAAACTAACAAACAAAGTGAATACCAACAAATATAAGTGCATGTTCCTAATCAACAGAAATGACTTTGTCAATTCCCCAGGCTTGGCAAACAATTCGCTAACACAAACTCACACACGCACAGACTCTAACACCTACAGACTCACACATACTTACGCATGAGAGGACGAAACACTTATCTCACTTACGTTCAAGTGTCACTCAATTTGTCTTTGTTTGCCCAGGGCCAGTGAGCAACGCCTAAGGGAAATTTCCGTGTGAAGAAATTGTTGTTTATTTAATAATGGATAAGAGCACTTCAAGCCATTTCATGATGCAACGTGTCTCCGCAAAAAGGACATGATGCGCAGCTTGACCAGATTCATCTGCACACTGTCCCGCACATTAACGCTGGCCAGGTCCTCCACATGCGAGTATCCTGCTCGCCGCAATCAAAAGGATTTAATGCACAGCTTACATAGCTAATTGGTGTCAACTTACCGGCTATAATCACAGCCTGATTGCCAAGTTGATGCCCCAATGCTCGCCATGGATCCAATTCGCCATGCGTGAAGAACAGTTCTCGGTAAACCACGCTTTGGTTAAATTCAAACCCACCGAACTGGGCATTCATTTCTGCAATGCCCATGGCCAGCGCTGCCGGTGTCTGGCCTGGTCCAAATGTATCACGACACAGCTGCTCAAAGTACCACACAGGCACCTGACTACCAAAGGACATGCAGGATGATGCACTGGTGCTGCAGTTGGTAGTGGTGGTGGTGGTGTACCATCCAAATTGGTTGCAAGTCTGATAGAACCATGCGCGCGCTGCAAAGAAGTTTTGATTTGCAAGTTACTGTGTTCCACTCATTCACTTACTGCCTGTGCTGCGATCCGAAACATCGCTGAACACCTCCAACATTGCCTTATAGCTGAAATCCTGACAGCGGAATTCCCTGAGCCGTTTGTCATCACCCGAGTATAGCCGCTCCAGAAAACGTTCCAGGGCCAGCTCATCGCTCGAGTGCAGCGACATGAGCGTATTGCAAAGTGCCGGAATATATTCGCTTAGAAATATAATTGAACAATTTATTAATTGGCGAACTACACTGAGAAAAAATCGCTATAAAATTTAGAAAATCGCTCTAAGAGGAAAGTCGTGCAGATAGCCAGAAAGAAATTATTTCTAAATATGTCCTAAAATTACAATAATCATTTTTTTCTATGCTGAAAATTATTAAGTTTTATGAGAAAATGCCGTGGAATTACGAAAAATAATTTTCAAAAATATAATTTTTGAATAATAAATTAAGTTACCCTTGGTGATTTTCTACATTATGTGGCGATTTTTTTCCGACTATAAATGCAAAGCTACCTGCATCAAGCATGAACGAGACACACCTGTAACTCTGCACAACCAATGCAAAGTAATTGCCAATGCCATTGAAGAAGGATATGCGATCCAGCAAATCACTTGCATTAAAACTCGCGCATGCATCCAGTCTTTCAAGTAATTTACTTATTTTATTCGTGTTGAATAACTTTACCAAGTGGTTAAATCCATTCTCTAGACGTTGTGTACAATTATGGCCATAGGTCAGGTTAATCGAGTTTCCGACGAATTGCATGTATTCTGGAAGCAACACACAATCAAATTTAATATTAATATATTTGGATTAATAATACTTCTTTTTGTTTCTTAATAAGGAACGAATTATTACATTTTTTTTTATTATTAGATAGATTAGTCTGGTTATATTTTGCTATTGATGTAGCAAAGCTACATTTGATACATAATCTACATAGGGACAAGAAATCTGATTAGATACTTTCTTAGAGGAGAGCAACCTCCCATTCCTATTGTCTGACCAAAGAATGTTAAATTATTTTCTTCCCGATACTATTAAAATGCTAACATTTTCTATTACTTTCCATCTCAAGAATTTCGGATTTCACAGAGAAGATTTCCAAATAACTCTAAAATCGAACGCAGAGTGTATCACCCAGATATATAAGATATATACTTTATGAAGTAATTGGTATGAAGTGCAAAACTAGCTCCATATAACTTAGAAAACAACTTAAAAATCTTTTGCTAAAATTAAGAGAAATAAAAGACGAGATTTTATAAACGACGAAGTCTACGAAGTTATTTTTCTGCAAAATCGAAATCTTGGCAATTTTTTAAATGTCTGGGCGATCAATTTTTTTCTTAATGTAAACCCAAATAAATTGTAGGAGATGAGAAGCTCTACTTACCGTAAAAATTAGCTTTGGCAAGCAACGGAGCACTGGAAGCCCAGCTTGCAGTTACAAGTTCTGGATAAAGTTGCGTCATCCAAGCTACCATGCTGCCGGAGTAGGATCCACCAATTAGGATTACCTTGGAGTGTGTTAGATTGGCGGAGTGTGACTTCTGATATCGGATAAAGCACGCAAGATCTGCCAAGGCTTGATGCAGATTCAAATGCTTAAGATTCTCCAAAGACATGCTATTATGGCTTGAGCTAAGAAAGGCATATTTGATTTAATTTTAAATTTGTATTTTAAAATAGCTAACTTACTTATGTGGCAAACTTTGGCCGTAGTATCGATGCTCAGTATAGAATAGAATGCCCGCATTTTCCACGGCCATATCGTGTGTAAGACCCGTGCTCAGCAGACCCGGCGTAATCGTCCATTCGCCGCCTACAAATATGTAAATTGGTCCCTGAGGCTTGTGATATTTGTCATTGCGAAGATAGCGCTGAAAGGAAGAAATTCTATCTAGAGTCTAATTTGTGATTCATATCGATTGTCTACTCACCATTTGCCAGGTTTTATTATTAAGCTCATCAAAGTGATCGAGTTTTTGACTTAGCCAAAGTTCCTGTACTGGAGCAGCATCACTTTTCGAATAGCTTCCTGAACTGGGCTCCTGCAGCAGTAGCTCCAAAGTATAACGATAGGCATTAAAAGTAAATTGCTCCGCAAAAGTGCTCACTAATATTGTGACGAGATAGAAACACTTCATAGTGTTGTGGACAGCTCTTGACTGAAGTTATTGACCCAGATCGATTGTCGTTTTATAAAGCGTGAAGCGTTGCACTTATTGCCCCTATAGATAGTTGCAAATTTATGTAAATTATCTTACTATCGTAACACAAATAATATGAAGAAATGTAACATTAATAGAGCAAATTAAAATATATCTGCTGATAAGTAATTTTATTTATTTATTTAAAACATTTCCAATTCGCTGCAGACAGACTACACGCAAACTTAACTAAAAAGAATTTATATGATGTTCTGATCAAAAAGTATTTTGCATTTTTAATGTAAAATTAAAATATAATATTATCTTGCACTCCAGCTAAAAATTGTTATTTATTACTGTAATTTTTGGTGCAAATTTAATAGTTTTATGATTATTAATTTAAAGTTGAATAATATCAATCGACTCAATACAAAGGAAATACAAAGATAAAAAGTAAAATAAATTAAATTATAAATAAAAAGGAATATTGAAGTTTATATATATATAAAATAAGATATTAAGATTTTTGGGATATTTTAATGTAAAATGATCTAGCATTTGTGTCAATATTGGGGTTAAATAAATAAAAATTAACTATATATACGAATCAACGAAAGTAGATTTTTTTTGTTCTTTCAAATTATATTTATTTATAATAATCAACTATGGTCAACTTTGTCATAAATACTTAGTTTTGTAATATAGTTGTAAAGACATTTATTGCAATTCTTCAAATATTTAAATATCGATTTTGGCTATACCTTTAAAATAATACAATCTGAATAATGCGACTTCGATATATGATCCTGCATATTTAAAAATACTTTTACCCAGGGAAAATATATTTGAAATTCTCTCTAATTTATTAATTTATGTGAAACTAAATGAACTGCTTCATTAATCAGTTCACAATGCTTTCTGACCTAATCGGCCTGCATAGATATGTCATCTTTGACGTTCTTTCGTTTTATGGATAAATTAGTGCGTCCCAGTTGAGGTAAATAAATCCTAAATATTGTTCATAATACAAAAGTTTGCTTCCATCAAAGAGTGTGCGATAAGGGCAAATTAAGTTTCCCCTTAGTACCTTTAATAGAATTGCCATAACAAGCCATGCAGCCCAAAAGACAAACAAAGAAATGACACTGCCAAAGCTCTCCTTCTGCCCACATGACCTTAATTTACTCACACATGGTTTTGAGTGTAACGCCAACGCACTGTAAGAGAAAACATCGAGCACTCCGAAATGCCCCTAGAATATTTTTATTGGAGCGAATCAGCGTTAGCCTGGGCAGCCCACAAGGCAATCTATTGGGTTTGGCTGTTGTCCGTAGTTGTGTGGGCCGAGATTTCTGCGTGGGCAGCAAATTGGGCGGGTCGGGCACAAGCCGGCGTTCTCTTCTATGAGTCATTTTCTGTTGTTTTATTCTCTTATTGCTTTCCACTCAGCGAATCGCTCAGTTGGCGCTGTCGCTCAAATTATAAGCTGGCTCTGGGTTAAATTTCAGTAAAATGTGTTTTTGTTCATTAGCCAGTGCGGGAAGTCCAAAATTACACACACTCGTTACTAATTAATATTTACTGCTTTAATTAGGAGCACAAGTATTTAGTGGATGTGTGTTGAGTGTGTGTGGATCTGTGCGAGTATGTTAATAGCTGGGTATTCTGGGTGTTGGGAGTGTCAAGTACTCGAGTGGCTTCTTCAGTGATGCATATCGTTGTGACCTTGAGAGTTGCGCCCTTCCATTTATGTTCCAATGGTAATTGATATGCTCATCGGTTCATCAAAGGTATTTCTAACAGAGATACTCTTTAGGAGGGTATTGCGTTTATGTCACACAACTTATTGCAAGACACATTTTCAGAATGAAAAGCCGAGGTTGAATCGACAACACTAAGCGCAAATACACTCTGCGAAACTCGATCAATCAGTGATAATTTAAGCCGTTTAGACCATCGAAATTAAATCGTATTTTATCACAAAATACCACATTTTGCCACTCCTGGGTCCAGGATGAATGTTCTTTTGCAAAATAGAATCTGGTTACTTGGTGTGCCTTCGTTAATACTGGCTTTGCTTTATTTATTTTTTTCTAAACCAATTGATCATTGGTTGATCAAATTTGTTGAACACGATGTTTCGATACTTGTAACCTTAAACCAAATAGAAATTTAGTCTGTAAGATTGCAAATTTTTGCGTATGTGATCTCAGCTATCTCCTCAGGCTAGCGTGTTTTTTCCTTTCCCATTCCAAATTGTTGTAAGCAACTTTCTAACTGTAAAATATCCCATTCAAAGAACTTGCATGTAACTTTATAACTATCTACTTTTCCTAAGACTAGAGAGTGACTCCTTTTAATCGAATTTCGCACCCAAGCTTGCTCAAAAACACAAATATGCAAATATTTTGGAAATAACTAACTGCTCAAGCTGCGTAAACAAGATCCTCTTAGTTTTTTTTAGCACCTTAAACACGAGTGCCTTTAATCGAATTTCGCTGAGTGTATATGCATGAGCAGCATCACTAGCCGAGTAGATATACCCATGTCTTTCTATGTAAACTATTCTCTTATTATCTGGTTGCTGCAGGCACTATATATGTCAATATGTAATATGTTCTTGTATAAAAAACTTGTATCATGTTAAACTAACTGAAATCTCAAGTTACGCTTGTTATTATGGTCAACATCAATATCGACCACTGCAGTCAGAAGAAATGAAGCGCAAATCCTCCTGAAAACCAGAAAATTTGTGTAATGCTTGGAAATAATTTCTAAATATGCGAGACAATTTCTTAAAACTACAAGGTTTTTTTTTCCTATTTTTCACAAATATATTTCTTAACAATAGCAAATATTTCGTAAAAGTATAGATACAAGCACTCTAATTTTTCTAAGTTTTAGAATAATTTTACCTGGAATTGGGAATAGAAAAACATTGTATTTTAGAAAGACACAACATTCGATTTGAGAATCATATTTAATTTTAATTTAATTTAAGTAATATCCAAAAGTATAGCGAATTTCAAACTTCAGGGCGATTTATTTTCTGACTGTGTATCTGCGTCGGTCGGTTTTTTAGAAATGCAGTACAATTTTGATTATTCCAGAATTTTGACTCCGCTTTGCTAGTTTATGTAATCTTCGGAGTACTTAAGATAATCGTTCTTCCATTTTTTTCTTATGGACTTATCGTATGGGCGAAAACTAATCGAAATTTAGTTTTTATTGTTTTATTTTTCATCTGAATATTACATATTTCTATTTCGGCCTATTTAACTTTCTTGTTAACTTCAACTTAGTTGAATGCCATACCGAATGCCATACCTGATAAGCAAAGTATTTAAAATAATCTAATGTAGCAATTGACTAGTATGAATGCCAATATAAAATTGTATAAAATAGATAAATAGAATATAACGTGTTGGTAGATTTTGCGAAATGAATAAAAGTTTAGCCAAAGTGAATATTTGCAAATAGTAGTTTTCATTGTTGTTCTTCAAAGTTGCCGCGAACATCAAATCAAGCATTCGCCAGTGTAACAACTTGTTGTAATGTGCGTGCCTCAAGCGAACTCTCTCGCATCACCTTTGCACTTCACAATGGCCGCAGAGCCACAGAGCAGCAGCAACAGTGAGTCAAAGAGCAGACCGCATGCTTCACGAACTGCGCTCGCGTTTCACTCAGGGTTGAGGAATCGCGTAGGCGATTGAGACATACTCGACGCTCGATGTCCTTTTGAGTGGAATGCAGCTCATAAAAGACGCAGTCAATGCGCTCAACGCTTCAGTCGAGTTTGAAACTTACACTCAAGCGGAGTTGTAAATAGTTGTTCGAGTTTTTTGGCTCGTACTCAAACGTACTGTGACCAAGTTTTAATCCCACACACATCCGCATATATTACATATACACATATAAATAGTTCTGCAAACAGAAATGCATAAAAGAAAAACTAGATTATAAAAATTAAAAACATAAGTAAAAAGGCCGCGTGTTTTTCAACTCGCATTCATTTTTTGTGGATGTGTGCTTTTGCGTGCGTGTGTTTATCTGTGTGAATGTATGTGTGTGTGATACAGTAAAGCGCATAAATTTGGAATCTTCTTCGTAGTGAGTTTGTTAAAGACAAATCAAGTGACAAAAGTTGACAACAAAAATATCAAATTTCCACGCTTATCTGTCTTTTCATGGCTGAGTGTGTGTGAGAGTGTGTGTGTGTGTGTGTCGAAGAATTGAATTCAAGAACAGCCGTTGTACACATTATTTACCCCAGCAGAGTTAGTCTCAGCCTCACTTCTAGCCTCGTTAGTCCCCGCTTTACTCATGTGTGTGTGTGTGTTTCTTGTGCTTTGAATAACAACACGCAGAGTTGTTGATTGTTGCCTGCTTTTGTGCACGTTTTTTGTTGCTATGCCTCTTCTCATTTGAGCCGCCCCCTCCACTGACGGCACCTGTTAAATTATGCATTAAGAAAACGGAACAGCGCACCCCAAAAAACACTCCACAAGCGCCATAAAAAATATAAATATAATAAGACTGAAAAAATGCTGCGAATATAAAGCTCAAATTTTCTGTACTTGTTGTTCTTGTATTTTTTTTTTAGTATCGGGCAGTCGGTGTCTTTGTCGGTTGGATATATTTTACTTACATATTATGCAAATGAATGCTTCTTTGTGATTTTTGCAGCTGCCTCTGCAGCTATTTTTTACATTTCTTAACCTTAAAGCTGCCTATAAGGCCCCAAAAACATATGCCTTGCTTTCGCTTCCTGTTTAAGTTTAAGTTTGGTCGTATCTACAATTTCTGATCAGCGTATATATATACATACAAAAATGTACACTTTATTTTTTTTATTCCCATTTTTTTTTATGATTTTTTATTTCCAATGGGCATCAGATCACTACATTTACTTTTTTGACACTTCCAAATCAGTGCCAGAATTTTTCGCACATTGGTTTGATTGGGTTTTTTTCTGGTTTGTGTCCAGATGTTGGATAATTTTGCAATTATAAAACCACGGAAATGTTATATATCTTAAAAGTAATTCTTATTTTATAATTTATGCGTAATATTTTTTACTTTTAATATATATATACTTTTATATAATATATACTTTTGTGTCGACTGAGTTTAGTTGACATAAAATAAATAAATAATTAAAATTGTTTTTAATTTTTACCAGCTTTATCCGTTTGGCCTTCAGTGAACTCAGTCACAAGTTATGGTCAAGTACGTCTCACACCACTTATTAAAACAATTTGTGTCACTTTGTCTGGCAGCATTTTTACCACCTCAAAAATAAGTCCCTTACTTTCCTACTTTATGGCCCGTCTGCTTCTGCTTCGGTTTCCGTTTCTGTTTCTGTGCAATTCTATGCCCCTGTGGCCTATCTTACTATTTGGCAATGTGGCTTCGCTTTTATCAGCGGTGCAAACACGTCTTAAAATATTTCGCTTCTTAGGCCTCTGGTGTATATAATTTGGTCGCAAATTGTGTTTCCACTGGTGTTGAATGTGACATGAGCCACATTTCTGTTACTCAACATGGAATTCTTTATTATTGAATCGTTTGCACAAAACTTTTATTTGAGTTTATTAAAGAACTCTGACATAATCTGGATGTGGCTCATGTATGCTTGGGAATTGTCAGGAGTTTTAACAGTGGTCTTCCTACGGATATGCTCCAGTGGATTTATGCCTTAAAATTTGATATTTTTATTGAAAGTAACATTTTAGTGATTTGAGATTATAGGTGCCTCAGCCTCTCAGCTCGCATTTTTTGTTAGATACTAGTTAATATAAACAATAAATAAACAGCATCTACGATTTTATTTGCTGTGTTTTGTTGATACTGCAAAGCAAATTCTCTGGGACGTACTCAAATTTGCCATAAAATTGCTGTTAGACGCTTTATGATTCGTGAACTTTAATTAGAAAACATGGGTATTCACTTTGCCTTAACCAGACGAACAATAACCCAAGGGATTAGTTTTGTCGCTCTTTGAGCAAAACTCAATAGAATTGTCAATGCACCCCCAAAAAAATGTATATAAAAAAGAGCAAGTGCCAATTCAAAGAGGGACGCACAGACTAATTAAAATGCTGTCATTTATTTCTTGTTGGTGAATTTTTTTTTATATTTTGTTTTGACAAACTGTGCAAGAAAAAGTTTCAGAAAAAGTTTGTCTTCTTGTTTAAACGAAGTGAGCAAAAGCGTAGCTAGATTTTTGATTGCCGCAGAAAGTATGCTAAAAGTTTGTTCAGCTTCAAGTTTGACTTTTGTGTAAAGTTAGCTCTTAGGCAAAGTAAAAAAAAAGGGTTTCACTTGGCTATAATTAAAGGTGCGGGTACAAGCGCCATTTTATTACTAGCTTTCTACTTTCACACCATTTCCAAATGACTCTGCTGCGTATGTGTTTTTTGGGTGCTCCAGAGACTCATTAAAAGGCACTCAAGGATTGCGAGAGTGTGTTTTATATATATATATATATGTATATATGTGAATATGTGTCTTTTTGTGTGCTTATGTGTGTATTTTTGGTGTGTGTGCGAGAAAAAGGGTTGTTCAACTTTTCGTCGCCACCAAAGAATTGTTAAAGTTCGTTAAGCTGATTAGACGGCTCTGCCATATAATTTGTTGTTTCATTTTGTATCTTGGCGATTATATATATTAGTACATATATATTATTTGTGTTAGTGTAATTAGAGGTATGTATGCTTTTGCGTGTGATGTGAAAATTTGGTGCGAAGATCCCAATGCTTTAATTAAGTCTGTGTTTATTAATTTTCTGTTTATTGACCCTAATTATCATTGGGAAGACTTTAAGTGGTTGCTTCACCTCAGTCTTTGTCGTTTATTTCTCACTTCTTAGTTACTTTTGTGATTTTTCCCCTGAGTATAATAATTATGGTGATCATTTAAGTTTTCAGTTTACTGCTTGTCAATTTTTTCATTTCATTAACATTCCACACTTATACTTATACTTGTCTATTAATACAACTTGATCTTAAGAGGGGTCGATATAGCCATATCCGTCTGTTCGTCTGTATGAAAATGCGGATCTAATAGACTGTAGGTGCTATTGACTTCAATTTTGAAATTTAAAATCTCGTGCACCTAACACGCGTATATCGCATTGGTTGCGTTTTATCGATATTATAATCAGAGCCTTCCACTTCATTTAAAATGTAGCTTCACATATTATTGGTCAACTGCGCTGCCTTAGGTTGTTGTACCTTTCAGGACCTGTATCTGCCATAAGAAACGGGCGGACTTCCACTCAAATGTATAGAACTTTTTAAAGAGAAATTTGGCAAATAAAACTGGACTAATATATTAAATAACTATATTCGGGATGTGTAAGCTTATAAGATGACAGCATGCTCACTATTACATTATTAATTTTATTTATTTTAAGCTTGGAAATGCATGTGGCTACCAGAAACACAATCCCAATTAAGAACCAACAATATGTGTATGCCAAAGTGACTACTTTCATTAACGTGATTGTTTTGATTTGTTCTTCTCGTTGCAGTGTAGAAAAATGTAAAAAGTCGACTAAAACATAATATTCGTTTGCCTGCAAGTTCTTTTTTGGATTTTAAGTTTAAGCGAAAACGAAACCGAAACCGATACCGAAATATTTTAGAAAAGAAACGAAAACGTAAACTAAACCCAACGGTTTATAGCTTGCTGTAATTGCACAAATTAAATACTTACATGTATAGTGGTAAACTCAGATATCGAATTAACGTAACGAACGTAAGTTAAGAGTAGAGCTAATTTCTGGTGCGTATAACTCCATTAGAACACGATTAGCCTAGCATATAGTCAACATAGAGCAGCGGAACCAGCTGTCCGCATCAGAAGTGCCAACAATAATTCAATCAGAACCCAGACGCAAAAAGAAACCGCCAAGTGACAACGGTGACACGAACCATACCAAGTCGCCGGAGCTGGAGTCTCTCCCCTCCCTTAGCTCCAAAAACGCAAACTAACCAGAAAACTTTGTCGAACAATCGTCTAAGACGCCAATCGTGCGTGTGTGAAAGTTTTACCCACATCTATTGAAAATATTGGACTCAATTGCAGATACATAGTGAGAAAGTGACGCGAGTGCTTCAATTTCGCCACGCGTACAGCAAAAGGAATTAAGCTAAATTAGGAGCAGCAAAATAGACATACAGCACCAGGATGTCCTCTTCCATGCCAAAGACGATGATCTGGCCAACATTTATCATTTCGCTGCTGTTGCTCCACGCAACGGCTAATGCCATCGATTTGAGCCGCTTGTACGGACACATGGCAAATCCGATACAAAAACGTAGCGGTAAGTATTCTCTTTAAGTATGTGTTTTAAATTATTTATAAGTAAATTTACTTATACTTAAGCAGATGCTATGTTATAAAGTACAAAGGGTTTCACAAAATTTAAGCCATCTAAATTGATTGAAGTAAATTCGAGTGTTTTACATTTTATATTTATTTTTATATATTTATTAATTTATTCATGTATTAGAATTTCAATATAACCATTTCTGAAAAAAAATAATGACTTTCTAAATTAAGAATTTTCTAAATTTAAGAATTTTTGCAAATGTTCTTGTTTTCGCCGTGATTTTTATTTTTTTCGGGGCGACTTTCTAAATTTCTGTGTGATTTATTTTCTGAATGTATGATAGTATTCAAGCTCAGGGAACAGATAAAGATATATATATAAATACACTTAAAACAATGTTTTAACACCATCTTAAGCAAACCGGTATATCGTTATCATTAATAATAAAATATATTCAAAGATGTAAAAGTAAAACAGAAGCGACCAATTTACAATGGTAGCTTTAAGTGTTAATTTTATTTCTTCCAGTTTCTTTTCATATGTACATATGAATATGAATGCATTTTAATTGTTAAAGCTTTAAATAACACACAATTGCAATTGTAATTCTGATTTCATGCAAAACTCCAATTAAAATTATTTTCAATGCCAAATCAAAGGTCATAATATAAATTTTACATTATGACAGCAGCTGCGGTCGCAGAACGTTATTCTGCCAAATTCAATAAATCATGAGTAAGTCAAAAGTGCTTGTTGATAAGAAACCCAGTGTTCACTTTTAAAGGAAATATAAGCTATACTTATACTGTCAGGTGAAAAGGGGCAACTGTTATGCATTCTGGTCAGCACGGGAATAATGATTGTGAAATGTTACCGAATAATCATATGTAATCATATCATGTGCCATTCCATAATTTGATATGTTAATGACTATAATTTCTCCTTATAAATGAATTATTCATGGGAAATTGAGCTTCAATGATAATCAATAACACATTATGACGGTTAGTCGTTACATTAAAAAAAGATAATTGATTTAATAAATATGCCTTTATGTCTGTAAATATTCTTAATAATGTTTACCTATTAAATCCATTTTCCAAATAACATAAGAAGTTGGCCAATAGCGAATAGCTTCAATTTGAAAAGATGGCTTGTGGGATTGTACTACACATACTTACTTAATCGAACACCATATATATAAATACTAAGTGTGCATTTTGAACAAACTTTATAGTTGAACTCATTTAATTAAATAAATAGCAAATGTAATTTTCTATTTATTCCTCTTTCACTTAAAGCTTATTTGATTTGCGGAGAACTTGAAGTGGCTGCTTTATTGTGTTATCGTTGAGCCAACAAACAAAATGAAACGCTTAAGCTTTTTGGACAGTTTTGTGGCTTTCCGCTGACAATAAAAGGACTTTTCTTTCGTCACATTTTCAGTTGCGTTTCCATAGCTTGCCCCAATCTCCTGTTTTCTTCGTCGGTAACCATCATTCAACATGTTAGCCATTCATTGTCGGTTCTTTTTGTGCTTCTGGCATTTGGCTTTGACCAGCTTTATGGCCACCGTTGACGGTAACGAACGCAGCTTTGGTCATAATTTTGTGGCCCAGGGCGTTGGCAGTAAACAATTGTGCAGCTGATCCAAGCTAGGTGCAACAAAAACGTAGAGCGCTACTCACTTAAAAATGATTTTTTTATCAACTCTTTTTTTGCGTTTACGTTTCATTATAATTAGTTACTGCATAATATATATATGTGGGTATGCCATGTATCAGCAGCTAGCCAGTGCTTGATTGAAAACACAATATGACGAGGTTATAAAATTTCATTTAAAATTAATGACCACGATTAGCAGTGGCTTAACTGAAACCGAACCTGAAAACCGTCTCGAGGACTTAAAAAGGTTTTAATAAATAAAAATTTCATATTAAATTTAAAATTAAAGTTGCCAAATAAATTATATAAAAGTAGTAATAGTAGTAGTATTATAAAACGTTAAGCAGATAGAAAGAGTTAGATAATAAGTGGCACATAAAATAAATAAAAGAAAGTCAAAGAAGTTTTTAACGTTTCTACTAATGAAGGACGTTGAATCAGAGGAACCCTGCTGAAGTACGAAGACAAACGGAGATTGGAATTCTAGTTAAAGCCACGCAAAGAGAAGCAATTGCTACTGAAAGGAGTCACCGACTAAGGAAGAGCCAATGAGCACAAAATAATAAGCAGTCTGAGGTTAAGTCTGCTTAGCACGATTCGAATTACATACTAAAGATAAATTAATTCACCCGACACCGATCTGAATGGTACTCTAATGACGACTTCGTCTTTCATGTCTCTCACCTATGAGAAAGCCATTAAAAGTTTTGCTGCACGAGTTCCGCTTACGGTTTCGCTTATTTATATTTAATGAGGCACGCAGCGAAAAACTTGGCCAACAATGCAGTGGACCAAGAACTAGTTAAAAAAAAAATTAATTTCGAAACATTAGCGCAAGCAGCTGACACAAGAGAAACTTTCACCTGACCCGAAAGATTTTAATACAATTAGGAGCTTGGCACGAGCAAGAGAGACCGCAGTGGAAAGTAATAATCTAGACGGTTATTACTTGAGGCTAGCAGGAAATTGCAGCTATACTTACGTCCCAGTGTAAAATACTTGGTATAATGTGCGCGTAATCATGATTTTGGTTTTTGGTGCTTTGTGGCATTTGGCAGCAGTGTTCTGTGCAACATGCAACTGCAACTGCACTGCACAAATGATCACGTAAATGGGCAACCAGCTTGAATGGCAGCACGAAATATTGGAAGCCAAAATTGGCCCCGGCATTGGCAGGGCGCGTTTGTATTTTATATTTGCATGTGTGGCATGCTCCAGCAAACGCCGCTGAGTATACTCCGTTTTGTTTTCCATTTGTTACCGCTCTGGTTTGCCGAGTGCACTCGAGTGGCAGAAAACACCCACACACACACACACTCATACAAGCACACCTATACACATGGCTGATTTCAATTGAATTACAATCTTAAAGCTAGAGAATTGAAAACATTCTTGCTCAACATTGTTCACAGAACGCAATAAAAGCCTGGTTCGCATGGAGCGTATTTAACTAATTGAATTACACAATAAGAAAATACATATTTATATGTAAGGAGAGCAGCCACAAATAGCTAAAGAAATTAGGCGACATGAAAGCATATAGTTACCGATGTGTGAACAAATGGGGATTAGTTATTAGCGACTGGATGTCATTTCACAGCTTTAATTGCTTAAAATAAATATACCCGGTCGTCTGATTAATTTTTTAAATACGTTTACGTATACGGAAATTAATGAAAGGGCGTATATAGTGTTGCATACTTTGGCACAACATCATTTTATACATTTTATGCATTTTTAATGGGTTTAGGGAAAATATATATATATGTATATATATTTATATGTATATATACATATTTGTATGCATGTCTTGCTTTTTGTTTTATTTAATTGCTTGAAGCATTTCAGTTCACGTAGATTATTCACAATTCAAGCTGATTAAGCTTAATTGAATTATAATTGGCCAGCTAAACATAAAATGCAATTAACATCCAATCAAATTATAAAGTAAATTAATTTTAACTTATTCAATAACTTGGTTATTAAATCACTTAATTCTTCAAAATACAAATGGCAATGTAGAGTTCAAAGAAAATGGCTAAGAATATGCAATAATTAATTCCAAATCGGCACTGCACCTGAAATGAAATTATGGTAAACTCAAAACGAATTGCTTTACTAGATATTCAGTTTTAGTAATATTCGTTTAATAAGCCCTAAATCATTTCCACTAATAGCCAAAGTTTACTAAACACAAATTTATTGTTATTGGTAAATAGCAGAACGAAAAACTTTGTAGGCGTATCGGTTGGGTTGTGCAATTTGTGTGCCTCCAGCCCGACATAAATAATAACGATATATTTCATGTACATTATCAAAGTCTTTTGTAAGCAATTTGCCAATACCATAAAATTGGTATACCGACGAGTTGGTCAAGCTACAACACAATACAAAGTATCCTACTACAGCGATAAATTTAATTATGTTGACATTTTAATTATACGAGCACAGCAGTGATTTGTGGCCCTCTCGCAAACTTTGTGCAAACTGGTCATTGATATGCAAATCTATGAATTATTAGATGTGCGTATGCAAATTACCTTACCCTAGACCCATACAGTTATTTCATCACGCATACGACGCATAAGCGCCAAAATCTTTCCAGCGCTTGTCAATCATATACAAACATACATATATTTGACCCTCTTTTTGTAAATGATTGTCAACAGTGACAGAAAGTTGACAGTGGTCGTATGGGTGTCAACCATCGAATTAATGATGCACCGATTAATTGCGTATCGCATTCATATGAGAATCGCGTGGATCAAAGTAAGTAAGAAGTCTTTACGTATTGAAAGCCATATACCCAGAAAAAAATTTACGAGAACTGTAAAAAAACCGCATTCTGCGCGATAATTTTTAGATATATTTTCTATTATTAAAAAAAAAATCTGAAAAACAGAATATAGGTCTTTTTAATTATTGGAAATTGTTATTCATATATTTAGAAATTATTTCTGAAGTATAGAAAATGTTACTAGCTTTTATGGCGATTTTATATTTTATCTTTATATGCACGTTTTATATATTTGAATCAAATGTTTTGATATATGTGCTTACATAAAATAGATATGTTTCCTGCCGTGTAATTTGCTATTTAATGCAATCGGTAATCGATTTGTATCGATATTCTGTAAATTGAAGCAGATATTGAAGAAATGAAATAAACTTGATCTGCATCTGTCAAATGCAAAGCTTTAAGTTTTTCCATTGTAGTATTTAAGAAATTGTACCAAATTATAAATAAATGATAAATACAAGCGGACAAGGCTAATTCAACTTGGCTGCTATTGTTATTCAAGAATATATATACTTAATTATCCGAG